TATAATGCCCCACGCCCCAATGTTCCTCATGCATTGTGACATTGCATAGGAGTTCTCCTTGTGAGGAGTTTCCATTTTGTTGACGAGGCTTCCTGTCCCCAGACAAACACAGTTTCTGTGTCACGGATTGCGATTACGGGATGGAACAGTCCTGGCCCTCGAACGCGAGAGCCGCTGTGACGGTCAACCCGTGGCAGCGTTTTAATTAAGTCTTTTGACCTTGCTTGTGTCTACCGCGTCGTGTTTGTATATAAACTTGTTTGTGCCATATATTCAAACGTGTGTTAAATACTTCATGGGTGTAATTTTCGGTTTTGGTAATTATCCACTTGATTCTTGTCGATTGTAAATGGGTTATTATCATTATTAATCGTGAATTCCAATTTCTATTTTGCAGTGTCTTCTCAGTAGTCGTTCTCGATCGTGTAACATAATGTAATAGTTTTAAGTTACGGCGCGCGACAGCGCCGCAACGGCCTTGACATCCGCAGAACGACTCCGGCGGCACGTGCGCGCTTTGAGGCGAGAGTCGCGACGGCCACCCACGGGCCGCTAGCGTCCTTCCGGCTACCAGCGTTCTCGCCGGAAGATGCGGAACTCCGGCTGGTGCAGGTGGACTGCGCATTCGATGCATCCGGCATCACGGACTCGGCCACCAAGTTTAAGCTGCTGGTGGCGAACCTGCCTATGGCTATCGCTTCGCAAGTGCGTGACGCTACAGTCAACAAGCGTGGAGAGTTTGATGCGCCGTGTGCGGTGTTGCCGGAGTGACTGGCGCACTCTCGGGCCAGCCGCCTGGAGGAGCTGCCGCGTCACCAGCAACTGGGTGACAGTAGGTCCTCGGAGCTTCTGCGCAGTATGCGCGGCGAGCTGACATCAGCAGGAGGCGTGTCAGCCGACAGCAACCTGCCGCGCATGCTGTTCAGGCAGCGGCTACCGCAGACAGCGAGGGCTGCCCTCTCGCTCCCTCCAGACAGCACGCCTCTGGAGGATCTGGCTGCAGCAGCAGACATGTTCCTGGAGTAGTCTTGTCCAACTGCTTCTGGGAGCACCGCGGGAGTGCCCTTGGCTACGCCAGTTCCTGGTCCCAGCCAGCCGACCAGCAGGGACACAGAGGGATCAGGCGTGGCGGCCGCGATCGTCAATTTGACTGTCATGGTCAGCCGACTGACAGCATCGAACACGCGACTGGAAGAGCATGTCTACCGTTCCAGGTCTCGCTCTGCCACACCTGGGCGGTCACGCCAGGCCTCCGTCTCCCGCCCCAGATGCCGGGTTGACTCACCAGACTGCTGGTACCATGAAACATTTGGTGCCAATGCCCGCAAGTGCTCTCAGCCCTGCACTTGGGAGGCGGAAAACAGGCGGGCCTGATGCGAGTGGCGCCCCATGCTTCAGGTCAGCTACCCCTGGCGCAGCTGCTTTTTGTCGAGGATGCAACAACTGACAAGCCACTGTGGGTGGACACTGGTGCACAGATCAGCGTCCCGCCACCATCTGTGCTTCCTAACAGCTGCAGCATCACTTCTGAGATGCTTCCCAGGCTGGAAGCTGCCAATGGTTCAGCAGCGAAGACTGCTTGGCTGATGTCGCTGGACAGTCCAGCTCGATACTGGTGCACCTCTGGAGTGACGCTTAATTGTTGCAGAATCCAATTGTGGGTGCTGACTTTGTAGCTCACCACAGGCTATCAGCGGATGTACATCATGGAGTGCTGTGCGATGTGTCAGGAGAAATCCAAGCCAGAGGCACACCAGCCGTGGTGAGGTCACTGCGATTGTGTGCGGTGGCAGCCAGCAGTACCTATGCGAAACTCCTGGCTGAGTTCCCACGGGTGACCGAACCAGCTATGAGACCAACACCTGTGAAACATTCAATGACCCACCACACAGTCACCTCTGGTAGGCCTAGGGTTTCTCGCCCCAGACGGCTGGCCCCAGACCGTCTCGCCATCACCCGTCAGGAGTTTGACAAGCTGAGGCGACTGGGGGTCATCCGGCCATCCAAGAGCAGCTGGGCTTCTCCACTGTATCTGGTGCCCAAGGACCACTCCAGAAGAGTGGCGGCCCTGCGGCGACTACAGGGCTCTCATTGCTGCCACAGTCCCTGACAGGTACCCTCTGTCATACCATCAAGAATGAACACGTGAGTGCATCAGGTGTCAACGTGCCAGAGTGCAACGGCACACCCGGGCGCCGGTGCACGCGTTCGTGTCCCCGAAGGCGCGTTTCGACAACGTGCACATCGACCTCATCAGTCCGATGCCGGCCTCTGACGGACACTCCAACCTCCTCGCCTGCGTGGACCGGTTCACGCGGTGGGAGGAGGCCCTGTCACTGTCTGACATCAGGGCGGCCGCGGTGGCGCGCGCCTTCGTCTCCGGCTGGGTGGCACGGTTCGGCGTTTCGGCTGAGATCATTACCGACCGCGATTCGCAGTTTGAGTCTGGACTGTGGCGCCATCTCTCCATCCTGCTCGGTTGCAAGCGCCACCGCACAAGTTACCACTCCCAGAGCAACGGCTTGGTGGAGAGGTTCCACCGGCAGCTCAAGACGGCGTTGCGTGCGTCCAAAACATGGCCGCGTTCGACTGACCAGCTGCCGCTCATCCCCCTCGCTATGCGCTCTGCCCTGAAGGAGGACATCGGCTGCACGGCGGTGGAGCTGGTGTAGGCAACCCCTACGGCTCCCCGGGGTTCTTCACAGCGCCGCCGCCGACGGACTTGCTGGACCCTGCCTCATATGTAGACGACCTGCTCCGAGTCATGCGCTTGTCTCCGTGCAGCGGCCCCCCGGCCGCTGAACTCGGCAGGAGCTTTCATTCCGTCGGCCCTCGAGAACTGCAGCCACGTGTTCGTCCGCCGAGGCGCCTCTCGGCCCCCGCTGGATCCACTCTACGATAGTCCCTTCAAGGTGGTGAAAAGGTCAGCAAATACCATCAGCATCGATCGCCAAGGGAAGGAGGAGGTCGTGTCCATCGACCGCGTGAAAGCCTGCCTACCTTGACCCTTCTCACGGCGCGTCAGAGGCTTCATCTGAGTCGACGGGCGGCCTAGCGACCAACGCCGACATCCGCCTGGCGAGACCAAGGCGTGCTATCCCCCTGCCCGCGTGCGCATCCACCGGTGGAACCCTCACTGGCGCTACCCGCCAGTGGACCGGGCGACTCGAGCGTCTGCAGCAACTGGAGGCCGACCGGTGCTGCCCGTCGCGGCTCCTGTTGGGCCACCGGCCGCCGCGCCAACTCTGTTAGCGCAGCCGGAAGCTGCCGCCTGTGCGACCCATCTTGCGCACCCGCTCGGGTCGGGCTGTGACTCGGCCAGCACGGTTTCGACACGTCACGTTCACCCAGTGACGCGTCTGGGGGGGGGGGGGGGGGGGCGTACGCAAGACTGTCATCCGAAACCTGTGCGTCTGAATGACGAGCCAAGAGGCATCGTAATCCTCTAGTGCTTCCTTCCACAGGAAGGCGTGGTCAGCGGATCCAGCGGATCACAGCCCAGTCGGCTATCGCATTCCGTACGCGTTCCGGGCTCGAGTCAGGCTGCAAGGCAGATCCTGGTAGGGGGTGACTTGGCATCCGCTAGGATCGCTGGGGCAACTTGGAGGATGATGCGTGATGCTACCCCGGCTGAGCGACTTGATCCCAGTTGAAGCTCGCACCCACACGCTTCTCGGAGCCCACGCATGAAGTCTGCCAAGAATCCCGCCTCCTGGATGTAGCAGACGAGGGGGTACCAAGGCAGA